ATTCAGTCAGTCTCCTCCTCCGCCTCCCCCTCCCCCTGCTCCCCCTGCTCCCCCTGCTCTTCCTGCTCTCTCCTCCTCCTCCTCCTGCTCCCCCTGTTCCCCCTGCTCCCCCTGCTCCCCCTCCTCCCCCTCCTCCCCGTCCTCCTCCGAGCGCCACGCGGGTCCCAGCCCCGAGCCCCTCCTCCTCCTCAAGGACTGCCGCCGCCAGCCCCGCAGCGCCCCCCTCTTCCCTCCTCCTCCTCCTCCTCCTCCTCCTCCTCCTCCTCCTCCTCCTTCTCCTCCTCCTCCCTCCTCCTCCCCTCCTCCTCCTCCTCCTCCCTCCTCCTTTTCCTCCTCCCCTCCCCGCCCCCCTCCCCCTCCTCCTCCGCCTCCTCCTCCTCCTCCCCCTCCTCCTCCTCCTCCTCCTCCTCCTCCTCCTCCTCCCTCCTCCTCCCTTTTCCTCCTCCTCCTCCTCCTCCTCCTCCTCCTCCTCCTCCTCCTCCTCCTCCTCCTCCTCCTCCTCTTCCCCCGCCAGGAAGGCCTGCGGCGGGGGAGCGATGCCCCCAAATCCAGATTTCCCCTGGAGTCATTGACAAAATCACGACGGGAGGCTTGCTGGCATTTCCGGCCTCTGCGGGGGGCCCTTGCCGGGCCTCGGGGCAATCACAAGAGAAACGGCTCGGGACGAAGAGCCGGAGCCGGGGAAGGGGTCCCGATTTCTAAGGGTCGACGTTATGCCAAAACCATGGCGTTGGGGGTCTGGGGACACCCCACTGACTGCCAACGGCGCGGTCGGCGTCATTGCACGCCTGCTGTCTTGGTGTCCGCCGGCATCAGAAGCACGCCGCGGCCGGTCGGTCGGACGGATACTCTGGATCCCTTAATAATCGACCGCCCCTCAAAAAACCAGACCCCCTTTTCCTTCGCGGCATAATTTTCCGGACCCCCTCCCACAGAGGGCGCCTTAATATTCCGGACCCCCCCCCAGCAAAATTGCGAGCGCGACGACGACGACGACGACGACGACGACGACGATACGAGAACTACGACTACGACTACGACTACGACGACGACGACGACGACGACGACGACGACGACGACGACGACAACGACAACGACAACGAAGACGACGACGACGACGAAGGGGCAGCTTTCCGCACGAAGAAAGCGGCCTTGAAGGCGGGCTTCAAGGAGAACTGAGGGGCACTTAAGTGCGCAAGATGATGTTCGCGCTTGGGGTGCGATGAGGAAACCATCACCGAGATAGTCGTCATCGCCATCAGAAGTATCATCATTGCCACCGCCCTTTCATATCGTGATGATGGTGATAACGACGATGATGAGGATGATGACGATGATGTTGAACATGTTGTTGATGATGATGCTGATGATGATGCTGATGATGATGTTGGTGATGATGAACATGATGATGACGATGACGATGACAATGACGACGATGATGATGATGCTGATGATGATGATGAGGGTTAGTACTTCGCGGGCTAGTACCCAAAAGGCGCCCTAATAAACCGGACCCCCCCTGAACGTCGGCTTCAAGAAACGCCTTGATAATTCGGACCCCCCTGCTTCCCCCAAAGGCGCCCTAATAAACCGGACCCGGGGGACGATTATTAAAGGATCCGGAGTAACGGCAGGACAGGCCGTCGCCGACCATGGCACAGATGGTGCAGATGGCAAGACTGGCGGGGGGGTGAAGAGGGGAGCAGCAGCAGCAGCAGCAGCAGCAGCAGCAGCAGCAGCAGCAGTCTGGCGGGAGGAGTTTCTCCTCCTGCGGCCCCCACTCCTGATTGATCCTCCGCCGCCTCCTCTTCTTCCTCCTCCTCCCCCTCTTCCTGTTCCTCCTCCTCCTCCTCCTCCTCCTCCTCCTCCTCCTCCTCTTCTCGCAGGCGCAGCAGTCCCACCCACGTTCCCCGCCTCCTCCTCCTCTTTCTCCTCCTCCTCCTCCTCCTCCTCCTCCTCCTTTTCCCCTTACGCGTCGCAAGCCTTCGTGTGTCGTGAACGGCGCAAGTGCGCGGGCCCTTCCTGTAGGCCGCCTCTCGCCCGTCTCTCTCCGCTCTCGTCCTCCTCCTCCTCCTCCTCCTCCTCCTCCTCCACATCCTCCTCCACTTCCTCCTCCTCCTCCTCCTCCTCCTCCTCATCATCATCATGAAGCCGTCTCGCGAACAGCCTCACAACGTCTCCTCGGCCTCCTCCTCCTCCAGCTCCTCTTTTTCCCCTCCCTGAGTCCATGCTTGTTTGTTCGTTTTGGGAAGGGGGGTCGTCGACACGGCCCATTGGCAGCTCAGAAAGTATTGCCCGCGTTGTAACTTGGAGGGGCCCGTGGGAGTGGATCTGAGCGGACTGGGGGCCCAGACCCCTAGCGTTAGGTCGGGCATGTCCTCCTACATCTTGATTTCGGAAGATAGTTTCGTTCAAAAGAAAATGAAACACTAGGCAAGCATAGCCAAAAGAACACGGAAACTCTTCACCCGATTGTTCTCCCTGTGGAAGGACACATGTCCGACTTATGCTAGCGTGCAGCCGTGGCGACCGGGGTTTCTTCCGTCGAGGCCTTCAAGTGCTGCGTGCACCAGAGCTCTATCAACCAGGACTTGTTGCCAGATCCGATGGGCACATGTCCTACCACCACTACCATATGTAGGACGTGGCAATTCCTACATCCACGGCGTGGCAATTCCTACATCCACGGCGTGGCGATTCCTCCATCCACGGCGTGGCAATTCCTGCACCCACGGCGTGGCAAGTCCTACTACATCCATGGCGTGGCAATGCCTACATCCACGGCGTGGCAGTGCCTACTACCACCCGTGGCAATTCTTACATCCACGGCGTGGCATTCTCTAAATCCACGGCGTGGCAATTCCTACATCCAGAACCAAGGAGGAGGTCGACGACCACGGCGTGGCCAATCGTACATCCACGGCGTGGCAATTCCTTCATCCATGGCGTGGCAACTCCTACATCCACGGCGTGGCAACTCCTACATCCACGGCGCGGCACTTCCTACATCCACGGCGTGGCAATTCCTACATCCATGGCGTGGCGATTCCTCCATCCACGGCGTGGCGATTCCTTCATCCACGGCGTGGCATTTCCTACATCCACGGCGTGGCAACTCCTACATCCACGGCGCGGCACTTCCTACATCCACGGCGTGGCAATTCCTACATCCACGGCGTGGCGATTCCTCCATCCACGGCGTGGCGATTCCTTCATCCACGGCGTGGCATTTCCTACATCCACGGCGTGGCAACTCCTACATCCACGGCGCGGCACTTCCTACATCGATAGGTGGAGGGAGGACCAGCGGAGGAGTCCTGCGAGGGGGGATCGGGAGGATCAGGATGAGCAAGAGGACGGACGTCCAGCTCGGCGTCTCACCGGATGAAGGGGAGGAGGGCAGGGAGGGAAGGCGGGGTAGGGGACGTGCAAGGGCAGGCCTTCCAAGGCCCGAATTATGCCTGTGTCGCCCAGGGGGGCCTCGGCGTCTCTGGGGCCCGCGGCCGGGCCCCATGCAGGCCCATCGAGCACCGATCCAGCACCAAGGGCGACCCCCAGGGAAGGGGTCGGGACCTTCTTGGGGTCGCCGATTGAACATGTCAGATCGGCTGGTGGCATGGATCGAAGAAGAGAACACGGCACAGACATACACTTTTGGCGCTCCGCGCGGATTTCTTGGATCTGCGCTGGGCCCCCCCGGCCGCGCCTCCGGGCCTCCGGCGCCGCCCCGCGCGCCATAGAGGGGGGTCCGGCGCAGATCCAAGGAATCCGCGCGGAGCGCCAACAGTTGATGTCTATGGCGTTCTGTGTCCTTCTAATGGAGCCCGCGGTCGAGGTTGCCCGGGCCGCCTGCCACGAGGGCTGCGTGCGCTGTCCCGGTTCCCCCCCAGGCGCTCCGGGTGCTCTGCAGTCTCCTCTCCTTGCCCCGCGGTACACGGGAAGGACGGGAGGCCCAGGAGCCCTTGTCGCGCGCCCGGGTCGCCGCCAGGGGGTGATCCAGCGCGGAGGAGAATCATGAGGAGGAGGAGAAGTAGGAGGAGAAGGAGGAGGAGGAGGAGGAGGAGGCGGCGGCGGAGGCGGAGGTGTTGGCGGAGGAGGAGGAGGCGGAGGATGACTCGGAGGAGGAGGAGGAGGGAGTGGAGCAGGAGGAGGAGGAGGGAGTGGAGCAGGAGGAGGAGGAGGAGGAGGAGGAGGAGGAGGAGGAGGAGGAGAAGCGAGCCCCGTCGTGCCAAGGGGTCATGCTGGCGGATCGCCATTTCGGCGGGGCGTTCGCCACCACGTGCGGCGTTCCAGAGGGGGGCCTCGCCTCATCGAGCATCGAGGGAGCCGGCCTCTCTGCCCCGGCGGGAGGCGGCCCCAGGCTTCAGTCGGGCGCGTCCCTCTACAGGAGGAATATTCAAACATAGTTTTAACAAGTAATCAGGGGACGATTGTTCTAGCATTTGTTCAAACTATTTCTCGGGGTATTCTTGATGAGTTGTTTACAACTTTCGTCCAACGTCCGCCTGTAGAGGGACATGCCCGACTTCAGGCTTGCGGAAGGCAGCGGAAGCACAACGAGGCGGCCTCCGCCAGCGGGGCGGCCTCCGCCAGCGGAAGGCCAGCGGAAGCCTGCAGAAGTAAAAGTCGGCATGCCAAGAGATGACCAGGCTTCAGATCCCCGAATCATCAGGGATAACTAAGGTCAGGGCTGACTCGGGTTCGTGTTTCGGGGATCCGAACCCGAGTTCCCCCGGGCCCGAGTTACCCCCGATAACTCGGACGTCCAGAGCCCCAAATCATCAGGGGTAACTCGGGTCAGAGCTAACTCGGGTTCGTTTTTCGTGAATCCAAACCAGAGTTAGCCCGGGCCCGAGTTACCCTGGATAATTCGGGCGCCCAAAGGTTTTTTGGTTCAGGTTTTCGGGGACCGCCGTATCGGCTCAAGGTGCATTTGCATCTCAGAGGCCTGTCGGGCCACGACATGAAGACGTGATTTCGCAGCGCGCGCGCAGGCCAGCATGTCTCGCAAGGCCATTGTTGGCCATCGCGCTCTTTGGTTTCGCGACAACGACCTCCGCCTTGATGACAACCCTGCGCTCCAAGCAGCCTATCGTAATGCAAAGACACTGCTGCCTGTGTATGTGTTTGATCCTGTGTGTTTCAATACGCTCACACCGTACGGTGGTGCCCGTAAAAGCACTGCCCGTAAGGCAAAGTTTCTTTTAGAGTGTGTGTCAGCACTTCGACGGCGATTAGAGGCACACGGCTCTGGCTTGGCCGTCGGACTCGGCGGTGTTTCGGACATCGTGCCAAGCTTTAGTACAGGTTGCGAGGCTGTCTTTGTCACCGAAGGTTTTTGTAGCGAAGAGAAGAGGGCAGAAGCCCACGTTGCTAGAAGGTTGGTGTGCGGTGAGCTGAAGCGTATTTGGGGCGGTACGCTGTTCTTCCCGACTGAGCTCGGGAACGATCCAGACAATATCCCATTGGGGCACATGCAATTCAGAAGCAACTGCAGGTCGAAAGGCCGCATTAGAGATCCAATTCCTGAGCCATCGCGACTGCCACCCTTACCCCAATGGGAAGACATGGGTTCGGAGACAGACATTTTGAAGGCATTGGAGTTCATGCCCAGTTTACAGGACTTGGGTTTTTCTGCGGCTGAGGCAGAGGCTGCCCTTGTGGACGACCCCAGAGGAGCCATGGTGTGGAAAGGCGGCGAAGATGCCGCATGGGCCCGGCTCCAAAAGTGGATGTTCGACGATGACAATCTCAAAGATTACCGAGATATTCAAAATGGCATGGTAGGGGAGGGGTATTCATCGAAGCTAAGTCCGTGGATTGCCCGTGGCTGCATTTCCGTCAGGCGGATTCGGAAAGAAGTTTTGCGGTACGAGGCCGAACGGATGATCAAGAATTTCAGTACGTATTGGCTCCCAAACATGTTGGAGTGGCGGGACTTTATGATCTACATTGCCAGAAGTCAGGGTGATCGAATTTTCAAGCTGGGTGGTATTATTGGCGACCGAGCGCCCTGGCACGGGACCAAGGAGGACCTGCAGGCCTGGAAGGATGGTCGTACGGGGGAGGAGCTTGTCGATGCTGGCATGAAGGAGCTCCTGCTCACAGGATACATGAGCATGCGTGCCCGCCACATTGTTGCCACCTATCTGGTATACGATCTTGGTGTCGACTGGCGCCACGGCGCCGCGCATTTCGAGGAGCATCTGCTTGATTACGATGCAGCCTTGAACTGGGTCATGTGGATGCAAGCGCCTGGGCTGCTTGGGCGGGGCGGGCGCCACCAGGGCTTGATGCGCCTGAATGTGAAGAAGACCATTTCGAATAAGAAAAACGGCATAACCGTACAGTTGATCATGTGATTAAGAAACCTCCGCCCGAAAAAAATTGGCCATCGTTTCTTGACCAACTTTCTGGACAGCTTGCCCAGTTTCTTCAGCACGTTTGCACTCAAGCGTGAAAACTAAGTTGACCAGGGTTTTTTGCATGAACTTCGGAATGCTGGCCCAGGTTTCTCAAATGATATTGTTCTTGATCGCGTGCTCGGCTGTAAAGTATTGGCGCTCCGCGCGGTTTCTTGGATCGTCGTTGGGATCCCCAGGCGGCGCCTCTGGCGCCGCCCCTAGTACGCTCCGCACGCCAGGGAGAGGGGGGGCCCAGCGCGGATCCAGGAAATCCGCGCGGAGGTCCGAAGGTCCATATATGTGCCGTTCTTTCTTCTTCCTCCATTGCCTCCCAGAGGAAACAGCTGTATAGTCAGGCCGCTGACCGCCAGTATGTCCAACATTGGCTTGCTTCTGGTCGAGGTGCGGCTGCAAATGGCTCTGTGTGCCAGGAGCCACGGCAACAGCGTCCTGCGCCTAGCCAGCGACAGGTGATTGTCCGAGGTGGTGCCAAGACGAGATCTGCTCCAGGTGACATGGAAGAGGACCCGTCAGAGAAGGCGAAACGTTGGGCACGCATGGAACGGTTCAGCGAGCATTTGCCCACACGTGTCTCGGAAGTTGCCGGCGAAGTAGGAGGCAACAGCCGAGGAAGCGAACGCGCCGATGATCGTGTCACCGAAGGCGCCAGAAGAAGCCACAAGAAGAGCCGGTGGGGACGGAGGGCAGTGGGTAGCCCGCTCGCCGAGTAACTGAAGTGCGAGCAGAGCGCATGCTGGGCATCAAGGGGGATGAGAGGAATGCACTGTTGCCCCGTGCTGGTGCATGGTGAAGTCCAGCACATTCCTGGTTAAGTCGGCTTAGTCCCTGGCTTAGTCTGGCCTTTTCCGGCTTTGCTCCTTGATCGGGCTGAGTAGCCCTTAGTCGTGTTCCACGAAGGGTTCCCCGGAGTTGTCTCTTGTCCCACCAGAGATGAGGCCACGCCCATGTCAGCAACACCGACACGGTGAATTGATGTATTGTCGGGAACCTTTGGTTAGCGAGTCGCGCCGCTTGTTCTGGCCCACGATGCGTCGGCGCGACACGCCAACCGCGTTCTGGACTCCAAGCGTTTAGTCCAGAGCGTTTCCCAGCTCCCTTCCCGCGAAGCGGAGCGACATGCTATCCGCCTGCACGGCGTAGCGTATCGCCGGGACCGCCGCCACGATAAGCTAAGCAACAGTTCCTGACCGTATATCGTCATTCTCAGCCTTTTAGGGCCTGCGTCTTCGTGTCACACCATGGCTCCGAGCACGTCTTCTCCGTGAGCGCCGCGCGGCTGCAGCCGTCAGAACATGTTGATAGTTCGTTTTCCCACCGCCACGTCAGTTACAGGTGACGAGGTCGTGGATTTTCTCATATTTTCTGTACAAGTGTCATTTTCAATGATGGCCGTCGCGTTTTTCAGGGGCAAGGATCGCCTTGTAGTCGACAGCCCACCTTGCTGGCGCACCGGCAGCGCTGCCCAGCTCGAAGAGAGGAGCCATAGATCGGGTTGGCCGAGGCAGCTCGCATTCCCGACGAGGTGCAGGGGGAAGAGGAGGACGAGGAGGAGGGGGAGGAGGAGGAGGAGGAGGAGGAGGAGGAGGAGGAGGAGGAGGAGGTGTAGGGGGAGGAGGAGGAGGGAGGAGGAGGAGGAGGAGGAGGAGGAGGAGGAGGAGGAGGAAAGAAGGAGGAGGAGGAGGAGGAGGCAGGAGGAGGAGGAGAGGAGGAGGAGCAGGAGGAGGAGGAGGAGGAGGAGGAGCAGGAGGGGGAGGAGGAGGAGGGGGAGGAGGAGCAGGAGGAGGAGGAGGAGGAGGAGGAGCAGGAGGAGGAGGAGGAGGAGGAGGACAAGGAGGAGAGGGGTTCATCGACGCCGACGACTCCTCTCTCAGGCTTCGGCTCGAGCATCGTCGAGGTGGGGCCCTGGGCCCGAGAGCCAGGGCACCCGCGGGGGGCGCGCGGAGGTCAACGGGCCGTCGCGCTTCGGGCCAGAGCGTCTGCCCTTCTCCGCGGGGCGCTGCGACGCGCGTCGCGCATCGCGGGGGCGCGAGGCGCCAAGAATTAGGTGACCGAGGAGAGAGGCTCCATCGGACGCCGGAGTCGCAACACGAAGCCTCTGCTGGGAAGCGGGATGCACAGGACGCGGCCCGCCTGGGCTACAAAATGGATGCACGCGTGGCCACGTCTGGTTCCATCTCGTTCGGCCCTCGCGCTGCCAGGGTAAGGCGGCCCTCCGCACGCGCATCCAGCCCGCGGCCTCCGCATTCGCATGTGAATCCAGCCGCGTGGTTGCTTGCAGCTGCCTGGCGGTGCCTCTTTTCCTTTCACGCTCCTCCCAGATATCCGGTCCTTGTCGTCGTCTGCCTGCTGCTCCCCTCCTCTGCCCCCTTCGCCGGGCAGCACAGCCTGCCACGGACCAGCGTGGTGGCGCGTAGGGCTTCGCAAAGAAGCCTCCGCCTCTACGACAGCAGCAGTCGGACCGAGGTATAAGATCGACGTCGGTTCGGAGAGGGTACCCTATTGTTCTTCGTGCTTGTTGGATGTTCTCGCGCACCCTGGGGATGGTGCCCTTGGATGTTCTGTGTGTTTGGGCCGGCGGAGGGTCGTATCTTGAGGATGTTATTCCGTCCGAGGTCCGATTGTGTCATATTTCGTTTTTTTTCCGCGACGCGACTTCCCGTTGAGGCATCTTAGAAGACATCCCGAGCTCTTCCCCCAGATGGATTTCGAACGCGGAGCCCATGCTCTCGACGCTCGAGAAGACGCCCGACGACGACCGCCTGACGCCCGCGATCGGGTGCTGCCCGGGTCCGACTGTATCCGATCTCGCTAATTACCCCATCCCGGGGCCAGGCTTGTCTCATTCCGGGTCGTGTTATGTGATTCGGGGGCGGCCACGAGGGGGTACCGTGGCCAGGGCCATGGAATCTCTGCAGCGTCCATGGCCCCGTCTTCCTATTTTCTTTTTTATTCTTCTGGATCACATTACTGTACTTATTATTATTATTGTTATTAGCTGTTGGCTTCTTCGCATGCTTCGGATGGTTCTCAGTGCTATCATCATGATTATTCGCATGATTCTCCTCATTCGAATGACTGCTGTTGCTACTATTGTTACTATTCTTCTCTCAGGGCGATCCCTGGCCTCCCCCGCATTGGGAGGATTGCGACCCCCGCTTTCTTTGAAATCCCGATATGGAACCACTGCCGCGCCGTCCTTCCTCGCCGCGAGTGAGGACTGGGGAGGATCGCGGATCGAGGTTTCCGAGCGTCCTTGGTCCTTGATGGGCATCTGGGAAGCTCCTCGCAGAGTGGAAACAGAGACCACAGGGCGGCCACGACCTGCGAGCCCCCCCCCCTCCCAGACGCCCCAATGCCCCCCCCCCCTCCACGGGGCGCCCCCGAGGGGCGGCGGGGGCCCCACGGGGCGGGCCCCGCCGGAGGTGCGCAGGCCGCGGGGGAGGGCGGCCGCGGCGAGCCTCTCTTTTTCTCGAGGCGCCCAGCAGATCCCAGCAGCTCCTGGGGGCCCATGGGGCCTGCTTCTGCACAGTCCAGATTCGAGGGTTCGCGAGCAAGCTTGCTTGCATGGCGTTTGCGACCCCCCTCCTCTCCTCGCTCCCCCCCCCGCCCTCCTCGCCCAGGGGCTTGGACAGTGGAGCGAAAAGCTGAGGGCACCTGGGGCCAGGGACACATTGGGCCCATGGGGCACTGTTAGCAGCCCCAGGTAGGGGGCACGACGCCTAGCTTTTCTTTCTTTTCGGTTCCGAGCAAGTTTACCTGCATAGCGTTCGCCTCCCTCCTCGCCCCTCTTCACACGATGAGCAAACGCCTTTCGACTTGCGTGGTTTCCGATTTTCGACTACGTATAAGTGCTTTTCGGTTTGCGTGCCAGTCGTTTGCGGTTTGCTTCATGTTACCTGCCCGGTTCTCAAAGCAACAGGTTCTACCAGCTAGCACCTCATGGGACCCTCGCGCAGTCGAGCATTTGACGAATCATGGGAGGGAATCGCCCTGCGACGTACTCTACCCATTTGCATCAAGCGACAAGAGCAGTTGGCCCAAATTTGCCAGGACAATGACAGTGCAGGCGCCGTTATATGTTGTGCAAGCTACATAGGGTGCGCGCACGCGGCACGGCTCACAAGACAACAACGGAAGGACGAGGAGCGAGGGCTGAGGCTTGAGGAGGACATGGGGGCGGGAACGAAGGGCAGGAGACGGACGCGCCGGGGGCCGAATTGTCAGCGCGGCAGCAGCAGAGGGAAGGCGGCAGGGGGCAGGGGGCGACGACGAGAGTGACGGGAGGAGACCGAAGAGTGTTGTTGTTCGTCGGTAGTAATCCAATAGCCCTTATAACGGCGACGATGGAACACAGTGCCGGGGAACTGCTTTGAACATCACCAGTCGTTCAAAGCAGTGCCCCGGCACTGCATTGAACGATGCGGAAATGCGATCAGCAGGAGCCTTCGTCTGTTCCTTCTCCTCTTCTCGTCGCTGTATGCTCTTCCTTGTCCTCCCTCCTCCCCCGTTCCCTCTCTAATTAATTACCTCGTTCTCCCAGTCTCACGCGCACTCTTCCTCCCCCCTCTCCTCCTCCTCTTCCTGCTTCTCCTCCTCGTCCTCCTCCTCCTCCGCCTCCTCCCCCTCATTTGTTATATTTCTCCGTCCTTGTCCTCCTGTCCCCGTTCTCCTTCTCCCTCTCCTCCTCCTCCTCCTCCTCGTCGTCGTCGTCCTCCTCCTCTTCCTCCTCCTCCTCCTCCTCCTCCTCCTTCCTCCTCCTCCTCCTCCTCCTCCTCCTCCTCACCTTCTTCCTCCTCCTCCTCCTCCCCCTTTTCCTCTCCCTCCTCCTCCTCCTCCTCCTCCTCCCCCTTCCCCCTCTTCCTCCTCTGCTATCACTCCTCCATAATTCCTGTCCGCTCCTCCCCTTCACTGATCTTCCTCTTCGTCATCATCATCCCTTTCGTCGCACGCCTCTTAATCCTCAATCGGTTCCCAATCTTCTCGACTTTCTTGTCATCCGCGTCCTTGGCTGTTGGAGGGGCCTCAGGAATTCTCAGGGCTCTTGTGTTGCACGCGAAGGCACACCTCCCAGGAACGCATCATCCTCCTCACATTCACCCTCCTCCTCCTCATCCTCCTCCTCCATGCACGTTCGGCTCAAGCCCGCGCCGACGGTAGGTTTCACGGCGGTTGGGCGGGCTCGCGCCCGCCTCCGCGGCCTGCAGTCGGGGCAGAGATGCGTGCAGGGTGGGATGACAAAGCGGAAGAGGAAACACGGGCCGCAGTTGCGGATTCTTCAAAGAGCAGCGGCGGCGGTTGGGGAACAAGTGGGGGTTGGGGCGGCCGCAGTGGCGGATACGGCGGCGGAGGTGACCGCAGTGGCGGCTGGGGCGGCGGAGATTCTCTTGGCGGATGGAGAGGAAAAGCGCAGGATGGCGGCGACGGAAGTGACCGCAGTCGCGGATGGGAGGGCG